GTCTCGAACCCGCGGGCTCAGGCAATCTACTCACCTCAGCCTCCCAAAGGCGCGAGATTATAGGCTGAGCCACCGAGCCCGGCTGGGGGTTTTAATCTAATGATAAATATCATAAAATAGACTTAGGATGTTAAAGATAAAAAAAGTACTATTAAATGGGAATTCTTAAAATTGTTTACTGTGTTGAAGCAGTAGGCATATAACAACTAATACTTCCTGAGAAACTGAGGGAAAGTGTATCAAATGCTCTGTACATGTTTTCTCAGTGATCTTTTTGAAGGAGGAGCTCTTATTATTCCCAGTTTACAGATGCGGAAATAGAAGCACAGGGGGATTAAATGTGCCCAGAGTTAGTGAGTAGTCAAGAGCCCATGCTCTCAGGCACAGTTGAGATATTTCTGCATTCCTCTTTAATTTGATCATTGCTTGTTTATAAGTTACAGCAGGCAACAGAATTGATTAAAGGCCATATTTAATTATTCTGTAAGTTACTTTTTTTTAAAAATGTTTTTATTTTTTTTTGAGTTGGAATCTCACTCTGTCGCCCAGGCAGAAGTGCAGCAGCACGCTCACGGCTACCACATCCTCGACCTGCTGGGCTCAGGCAATTCTTCCACCTCAGCCTTCCAAGTAGCTGGAACTACAGGCACACACTACCATGCCCAGCCTATTTTTTTATTTATTGTAGAGGCGAGGTCTCACCAAGTTGCCCAGGCTGGTCTCAAACCCCTGAGCTCAGGCAATCAATCCTCTCACCTCAGCCTCCCAAAGTGCTGGGATTACAGGCTTGAGCCATCTTGCCTGGCCTTGTAAATTACTTCCAAAAGAACTAGGAGATATTTAAATGTTCATCATCAGCGTGATACTGAGTGTCTATCCAAGATGTTGTTGCTTTGTAGCACCCAAATATGGGTTAGAGGCCCAGGCTATGAGACCCAGTGACTTTTGGCAGACATGTGATGAGTCTATACCTGTATATTAAAGTTCAAATAAAGAAGTTAAGATTGTTGCAGACAGTATATTTGGATGAAGACATGCTAGGGAATTGGGAGAATTAGAACCATAGAGCTGTGTTGAGCAGAAGATAGAGAACGATTAAGGGGTAAGTTTAAATATATAGTTTGCTGGTTTGAAATTTAGTGAGAAAATGGCAAGGTAGAAATACAAATCCAGGCCGGGCATGGTGGCTCACACCTATAATCCCAGCAGTTTGGGAAGCCAGGGTGAGAGGATTGAGCCCAGGAGTTTGAGACCAGTGTAGGCAATATAGTGAGACCTCATCTCTATAAAAAAAAAAAAAAATTAGGCATAGTGGCATGCATCTGTAGTCCCAGCTACTGGAGGGTCTGGGGTGAGAGAATTGACTAAACCCAGGCTGTAGTGTACCTGTGATCGTGCCGCAGCACTCCAGCATGGGTCTCAGAGCAAAGCCCCCAACTCAAAAATAAATTTAAGTTCAGGTTTTTTCTAGAGATTCCTATTTGTTTTTATAGTGTTTGTAGTACTACAAAGATTACTTTCTTATTTCTTAGACCTGGATGAGGTGCTAGCTTGAGCAGGGCCTTAGTTTACTAAAGGTGAGCGATGTATCCAAATCTGCCAAGTTTTCTTTAGTTTGTGTATTGCCTGAATGATTGATCTAAAGAATAACATCAAAATAGCAAATCAACGGATGTGGTATATCCATACAATGGAAAATTATTTAGCCATATAAAGGACTGAAATTCTGATACATGCTTACAACATGGAAGAACTTTGAAAAATATTTTGCTAAATGCAATAAGCCAGACATGAAAAGAAATACGGTGTACCACTTATATGAGGTACATAAAGACAGAAAGTAGAGTAAAGGTTCCTTGGGGCTGTGGGGAGGGAGAATGGGGAGATACTATTTAGTAGTACTATTTAGATTCGTTGTTTCATTTTTGGAAAATGAAAAAGTTCTAGAGGTGGAGTGGGCATGGCAGCTCACGCCTATAATCCCAGTACTTTGGGAGGCGGAGGTGAGTGGATTGCCTGAGCCTAGGGGTTCAAGACCAGCTTGGTCAACTTGGCAAGACCTCGTCTCTACAAGAAATGAAAAAAATTAGCTGTATGTGGTGGTGTGTGCCTGTGATTCTAGCTACTTGGAAGGCTGAGGCGGAAGGATCGCCTGAGGCCAGCAGGTCAAGGCTGTAGTGGCTGTGAGTGTGCCACTGTACTCCAACCTGGGCGACAGAGTGAGACTCCAACTCAAAAAAAATTTTTTTTTAAGTTTTGGAGATGGATAGTGGTGATGGTTGCACAACAGAGTGAAAGTACTTAATGCTACCGAATTGTATATTTTTAAATGGTTAAAATGATAAATTTTGTTATGTATATTTTACCACAAAAATTGTTTTTTGTTAAAAAATAATAAACCAGCCAGGTGTGGAAGCTCACGCCTATAATCCCAGCACTTTGGGAGGCTGAGGTGAGAGGATTGCCTGAGCTCATGTGTTCAAGACCAGCCTTAGCAACTTGGCGAGACCTCATCTCTACAATAAATCAAAAAATTAGCTGGGCAGCGTGGCACATGCCTGTAGTTCCAGCTACTTGGAAGGCTGAGGCGGAAAGATGGCCTGAACCCAGCAGGTCGAGGCTTCAGTGGTCGTGAGTGTGCCACTGTACTCCAGCCTGGGCAGCAGAGTGAGACTTCAACTCAAAAAAAATAAAAATAATAATAATATGCTAGTGGCATGAAACCCACAATTGTGAGTTTCTGAGGCAAATATATATTACATTATTTGAATGCCCTTTTTTATAGAAAAATTTGGTTGTACTTTCCTGGCTTGGGCTGATGGCGAGTGTGGTTGTCATTCTCTTTAACCATGGCCCAGAGTTTCTCCTGCTTGAGAATGTGGTGCATCACTTCAAGTACCCCTGTGTGCTGGACCTGAAGATGGGCACCCGGCAGCATGGTGATGATGCATCAGCTGAGAAGGCAGCCCGGCAGATGAGGAAGTGTGAGCAGAGCACGTCAGCTACACTGGGTGTCAGGGTCTGTGGCATGCAGGTGAGTCACCCATGGTGAGAGCCTAGATGATGCCACTTGCATGTTTTGGGTTGCGCTCATACGTGCCTGCCACCCATGCCAAGTATCCTCCTGTCCCACATTGGCCTGGAGTTTCCTTTGAGGGTGAGTCCCCCACAGGGTATGGAGTATGTCCTTAGAAATGTGTTTCCTGGCCGGGCTCGGTGGCTCAGCCTGTAATCCTGTGCTTTGGGAGGCCTAGGTGAGTGAATTGCCTGAGCCCACGGGTTCGAGACCCACCTGGGCAACTTAGCGAGACCTCATCTCTACAATAAATAATAATAATAATAAAGTAGCCGGGCGTGGTAGCACGCGCCTGTAGTTCCAGCTACTTGGAAGGTTAAGGCGGAAAGATTGCTGGAGCCCAGCAGGTCGAGGCTGTGGTAGCCGGGAGCAGCCACTGCACTCCAGTCTGGGCGACTGAGTGAGACTCCAACTCAAAAAAAAAAAAAAGAAATGTGTTTCCTGAGCCCTTCTGTCCTTACCTGTTGACCTTGATTTGGCCTTCAGGCGCAGGGCCATTGTAAGAGCTTCTGCCTTGACATTGGGGCAAGCAAGACTTTTCTGTTAGCAGGCTGCGTCTAGGTAAGAGACCAGCTAGGTCTGGGCACTGTGGCTCACATCTGTAATTCCAGCACTTTGGGAGGCCAAGGTGAGAGGATTGTTTGAGCCCAGGAGTTCGAGACCAACCTAGGCATAGCGAGACCTCATCTCTACAAAAATAAAAAAAGTAGTTGGGAGTGGTAGTGCATGCCTGTGATCCCAGCTACTTGGGAGGCTAAAGCAGAAGGATTACCTGAGCCCGGGAGGTTGAGGCTATGGTAAGCCATGGTTGTGCCACTGCACTTCAGCCTGGGCAACAGTGTGAGATGCCAACTTAAAAAAAAAAAAAGTCCAGTGGGGGACCGGGGTAGCTTGGAGGAGGGCTCCAAAGGTGATGGCAGGGAATTTGTAGACCTGGTATTGGCTTTTTCTTGGCTCTACACATGGTGAAAGTGGCCTGCCCTGCTCCACTTGGAGGGATGAGCAGAAAAGCTCAGGTTGGTCAAATTGCTTACTCAGACACTGTGAGGTCATCTGACTTCCCTGGTACTCACTGTGTATGTCTCCTGGGATTTCAGGTATACCAGCTGGACACAGGGCATTACCTCTGCAGGAACAAGTACTATGGCCGTGGGCTCTCCATCGAAGGTTTTCGCAATGCCCTCTATCAGTATCTGCACAATGGCCTGGACCTGCGACGTGACCTCTTTGAGCCTATCCTGAGCAAACTGCGGGGCCTGAAAGCTGTGCTGGAGCGGCAGGCCTCCTACCGCTTCTATTCCAGTTCTCTGCTTGTCATCTATGATGGCAAGGAGTGCCGGGCTGAGTCCTGCCTGGACCGCCGGTCTGAGATGCGTCTCAAACACCTGGACATGGGGCTCCCTGAGGTGGTGTCATCCTGTGGCCCCAGCACCAGTCCCAGCAGCATCAGTTCCGAGGCGGGTTCCTCCTCTCCACCTAAGGTGGATGTCCGCATGATTGACTTTGCACATAGCACGTTCAAGGGCTTCCGGGATGACCCCACTGTGCATGATGGGCCAGACAGAGGCTACGTGTTTGGCCTGGAGAACCTCATCAGCATCATGGAACAGATGCGGGACGAGAACCAGTAGGCCCAGTCCTGGGCCCCCAAACCCCTTCCTCTCTACCCGCAGGCAGGGACCATTGCTCTGAACTTGCCATGAGGACACACAGACTTGCTTTTAAAGGGTTATATTTCTCTTTGGTGTAAACTAAAAGAAATGTTTTTAGCTGTAGCCTGGAATCCATGTATCTATAAAGTGAAGGAGGGCATATATGTTCTCTCAGCCAGGCTTCTTAGCTTTATGGCTCTGACTGCTGTGTCCAGGCTGACTTAGGAAGAAAGAGATGCCCCTGGTGGGCTCAGCAGCAGGAACAGGGTGCCCTTGGACGTTGGTTTATCTGGCCTAGGTCGTTGAGGTCTGTGGCTGCAGGGCTCTACCGATTGTGGAGTGAAGCCCTGGGCTGGCACAGGGTCCCTCCATGCCGTCTTCCTTGTTCTCCAGAAGTACTAGAGACTGGGTACCCATTTCTTGGAGGCTTTCCAGTCTTGTGCTGTGGATATGTCAGCTTGCTCTTTAACAGTTGCCTTCATGGCACCCAGGGCTGATTGCACACAGCTGGGCCCATCCTTTAGGGTCTGACCTTGGTATGGGGCTAGATTAATAAAGCTGGGCTGAAGCCAGCTCTTGGCAGAGGGCAGGCTCTGGGTTTTCTGGGCACCTATTGACACATGAACCTTTTCCTCCTATGCCCGAAACCCCAGCTAGCTTCTCTTTCCAAGATCCCTTGCCTAAGAAGGCCATTCCCTCCTTAGGCAAGGGGGTGTAGTTCTGTTTGCTGAGGAAAGTCTATGTTCCAGTAGGTCTCAGGACTTCTGGTTGCTCTGGCCCAGACAGTATTTACAGTTCTTGGGCTGTGAGTAGGGGTCTTCCTCCTCTGGTTTGGGCAGCTGTGCTGCCGCCGCTGGATAGGTTGCTCCTCCCAGGATTCAAGGGCTGTGGTCCGCTCAGGGTCTCATATTTCTCCAGGCCAAGCTCAAGGCAGCAGCCCTTTGTGAGGTGCTCCAGACCCTGGGCCTGGAGAACTTTAAGCTTGTCTGCTCACGGGGATATGGTCTGGGCCCTGGGTACAGGTGCCCAGATTCTGCTAGTGAGAGCTTTGTCTACTCTATTCTGGGGTCCATCAGTTTGTCCATGTGTCCATCTGCCAGTCCCTGTCTTTTGGGATCCTTCCCCTGGGGTGTAGTCTTGCTTATTAGAATATATTTCCTTCATGCTTTTCTCAGCAAAATACCCTTTCCCATTTCTGAGGTGAGCTCTTGGTCTTGTGCCCTGCCTCTGCAGGTGCTGCCTTTTTATAAAGACCTGGTAGCAGAATGAACCGTAGGTGGTGTTTCCATGTTGGCTCAAAACCCTTTCCCTGGGCCTAGAATTTGGCCCTCAACACTGACTGTGGGTTAACCCTTTCATCCCCACAGTTTTAGTCATTTTTGCAGTCAGCCCTTAATGGCACAGAGACCTACTGCTGCTTACACAAAGGGCCAAGAGGTGACTACTGAATTCAGCCATTGTCAAAGTTAGCATCCTCTCGTCCAAACCTAAGGCTGTTGTCATTGTCACTTTTGGCAGGTTCCTGTTTTGACATTAAAGTATACCTGCCATTCTGTGTCTGTGAGAGGTCTTGGTAACTAATAGACTGATTTCCTGGTCCTTAGAGATGCAGCCTCTTTAATGGGCTCCTTGATGGATCCCAGCTCTCTCAACCCTCTGACCCTGGTGCCAGTGGTGGATGGGTTCCCATTCCTTGGGACTGGGAGGGGCAGCTTGCCTGCTTCTGGTCAGAAATGACCATCTTGTCTCCTGTACCAGGCGGTGGCTTCAGGTATGGGGGCAGCAGCTCTTCATTAGTGTAGACTGTCATTCTATGGCAGGGTAGAGGGCAAGAATCTGGAGCCATTTGGGACTGCCTGGGGATGTTTTTTGCCTCCCAGATTTCTAGATTCTGGGAGCAGATGATGCCCCATTTTGCTGTCCTCACTTACCAAGTGTTTTCTTGACATCTTTTAAAAAGAATGGAAGGGCCTAGGATTTGCTGCTTCTCCCTCCAGAGCAAGGCAAAAGTGTCAGCACTTTTGACACCTGGAGACCCTGTTCTGTAGTCTGATGGTAGTGGACAAGTGTGTGTGTATACTTTCTGCCAGCCACTGCTCTTTCTCCCTTCCCCAGGCCAGAGGCCTGTCTCTGCCAGGCCTTGCCTTCCCAGCCCCAACTTGGGACCAAAGTGCAACATGGGATCATGGGTGGGGGTGCTCTAGTGACCCCTCTCTATAGTGCTTCCCTGGGCCAAGTGACACCAGCCCCTGGGGGGTGGGTGTGGGGTGGGTTGGGTGGTGGTTAAAGAGGAAGGGGACCACTGTAGCAGCTTACCAGGGACCCCACACCTCCCTCTCTGGGCCTGTGCAATGGGTGTGGGGATTCCCACTAAGGGGCCAGGGGCCTGTGCTAGTTTAGTAGTCTCTGCTCATGCTCTCACACCTGGCCATGTGCACGCTCCCTAGATGCAGATTGCATTGAACTTTAAAGCTGTACAATTTGGTTATGTTTGTGCCGAATTTTTAAAATATTTTAATGAAAAAAAGTGGAGAACCCTGGGACGGGCCTGGTTCCTTTGCTTCTCGGGGAACTGGAAGACCTCGCTCTGCTCCTCTTTCCTGGAAGCTAAGCCTATCCACACCGCCCGAGACCTGCTCCCGGATACTACTCGTGGCTGCAGCTATAGTTGCGTTTTCTCGGGACCTTGCGTGTGGGAGAGAGGGGTGCTCCGGCCGAGCCTGCTCCTTTCTGTCCCCTAGTGCTGCCCACCCCGCTTGTGTCTGAGGTCGTGTATGTCAAAATAAAGCCGTTAGAAACTCAGGCGTGTCCGTGTCTTTGTGAAAATCCCGAGGTTTCCGGGTTGAGCAAGGCGGGCAGTCCCACCCCACGGTCCCGGGTCCTTTCTCTCGTGTCCCTTCCCTAGGGCCGGAGCAGGCGGGGCCGGAAGCTGCTGTACCGCGGCAGACCCGAGCACCGGAGAGAACGAGGCCTCGCCCTTGGCGCCAGTTCCGCCTTTGGATCCGCCAATGGGCAGCCGACCCGCGGGTCCCGGCCCCGGTCCCCATGGCAGCGCGGCGCGCTCGGGCTCTCATTGGCTACGTCTGCCGCAGCGCCGTGCCCTAGCGCTCCGACGCCGGCGGCCGTGCCACGTACACGTCAGCCGATTGGCCCGCTGAGGTAGCGTCACTGTCCGCGCCGCGTCCGGCCTGAGTTCCGGGCCAGCTGCCCTCCATCCCGCGTCGTGTCCTGGGTTGTGGCGGACCGGGATCCGGCGTCAGGGCTGACCAGGCGGACGAGGACGAGCCAGAGTCGGTCAGTCGGGCAGGTGAGGGGCGGGTCCAGGCATGGCGGCGGGAGTGCGCGGCAGGAGCCGCCGGGTGGGTTGCTGGCACCTCGGAACCCCGCGACTCACTCACCTGTCGCCTGCAGGCACGATGAAGGCACTGATTTTGGTGGGCGGTTATGGGACGCGGCTTCGGCCGCTGACGCTGAGCATCCCGAAGCCACTGGTGGACTTCTGCAATAAGCCCATCTTGCTGCACCAAGTGGAGGCGCTGGCCGCGGTAAGACCTTGGATTGGGATCCGAGTTCGGATTTGGAAGGACTAGGGAAGGCTAGCAACTTAGAGTCAGGAGCGCCTATTCCTTCCAACTGAGCCCGCCTGTCGGTCTATGTTCTGTCCGACAGGCAGGCGTGGACCACGTGATCCTGGCCGTGAGCTACATGTCGCAGGTGCTGGAGAAGGAAATGAAGGCGCAGGAGCAGAGGGTGAGGCACGGACTCTTGTCGCTTATCATTTGTCCCTGCTCACCTTCCCATCGTGGTAGGAAAATCTGACTAGGAGACTTTTTCCTTCCAGCTGGGTATCCGAATCTCAATGTCCCGTGAAGAGGAGCCTTTGGGTACAGGTCAGTAGAGACAGGAAGGGAGGGATTAGGACCAGAGGGGGTAAAACCCAGCCTGGATTGGGCCAGCGGAACCTGAATCCTGGGACTCAGAGCCCCCAGCAAGGTGGTGACCTGTCTCCTTTCTCCAGCTGGGCCCCTGGCACTGGCCCGTGACCTGCTCTCCGAGACTGCAGACCCTTTCTTTGTCCTCAACAGTGACGTGATCTGTGACTTCCCCTTCCAAGCCATGGTGCAGTTCCACCGGCACCATGGCCAGGAGGGCTCTATCCTGGTAAGGGACCAGGTCTTCCTTCTCTTTGGACATTCCACACCACCCCCCCACTCCCATGCCCAGCCTTCCTTGCCCCTCAGCCTTGAACTACCTTCTGATGTTATGGGCACAGAGTTGTGAAGTATGCACTTTTAAGCATTTGGGGCAGAATCTCTGAGATTTGGAACAGCATGTGTATCAAGGCTCAGAACACTGGACTAGGCCTGAGGTCCCCTCGTATTCAGGTGACCAAGGTGGAGGAACCCTCCAAGTATGGTGTTGTGGTGTGTGAGGCAGACACAGGCCGCATTCACCGGTTCGTGGAGAAGCCGCAGGTGTTTGTGTCCAATAAGATCAACGCAGGCATGTACATCCTGAGCCCTGCGGTGCTGCAGCGTATCCAGGTGTGTAGGAGACAGCTGCTGGGTGGGCTGGGGCGGGACAGGCCACCACCGCCATGACCCTGCTCACAAGCTGCCCACTCCCACAGCTGCAGCCTACGTCCATTGAGAAGGAGGTCTTCCCTGTTATGGCCAAGGAGGGGCAGCTATATGCCATGGAGCTGCAGGGTGAGGCAGGGAGGCCACAGGGTGGGGGTGGTCTGTGGCTGGGCTGAGCCCCCTGATGCATCCCTCCCTACAGGCTTCTGGATGGACATTGGGCAGCCCAAGGATTTCCTCACTGGCATGTGCCTCTTCTTGCAGTCACTGAGACAGAAGCATCCTGAGCGACTGTGCTCAGGCCCTGGCATTGTGGGCAACGTGCTGGTGGTAAGGCCCTTGCCTAGCCCGTTATTAATCCCCTCAGTCTTGCATGACAAATGGCCCACTTTTGTTTTCCCCACCACTCCCAGGACCCAAGCACCCGCATTGGCCAGAACTGTAGCATTGGCCCCAACGTAAGCCTGGGTCCTGGTGTGGTAGTGGAGGATGGTGTGTGTATCCGGCGGTGCACAGTGCTACGGGATGCCCATATCCGTTCCCACTCCTGGCTCGAGTCCTGCATTGTGGGCTGGCGCTGCCGTGTGGGCCAGTGGGTAAGCCTGGGGGCTAGGCCAGGTAGGGAGGGGGCAAGAATGAGCCTGCCTTGTTGACAAGGCCTATCCTTTCTCCCTGAGGTTCGCATGGAGAATGTGACAGTGCTGGGTGAGGATGTGATAGTTAATGATGAACTCTACCTCAATGGAGCCAGCGTGCTGCCCCACAAGTCTATCGGCGAGTCCGTGCCAGAGCCTCGCATCATCATGTGAGGGGTGCTATGGGGCTGGCTGAGCCCTGGTTTCCCCATTGGCTGGCCTGATACACCAGAAGACCCTGGACTTGTTGCTGTATGATTTGGGAGCATTGGATGGGGCCGAAGTTGGACATCTGCCTTCTCATGTGGTCATAATCTGGCAGAATTCCTGCTGGGCACACTCAACAAACTCCACTCCCTCAAGAAGGGCCAAGGCCAGGGCTGTATGGAATAATAATTTAATGCACACTGCGGCCCTGACTGAAAGTCAAGCTCAGGCACAATTAGGCCATGGCTGGGCTCCTACTAATGAGGCAACAGGCAGGCAAGAAGATGGTGGGATGTAGTAGGGAGGTTACGGGTGAGGGGGCGGTGGCAGAGCAAAGGGAGCTCATAAGTAGGACCCAGCCTGGGTTTGGGTTCAGGAGTAGACGTTCCAGGATGGTGCAGGCTGTGAGGGCTAGGCAGCTGAGGAAGTGGTACTCGTACTGGCTGCCTTCTCCCAGTCCTCTACAGACACAATGGTGGCTTTGCAGAAGAAGCAATCCTTGTTGTTCATCAGGTGCTGGTTGATGCAGGCTCTACAACACGGGAGGGGGTGAAGGCTATCCTGTGTGTCCCTACAGCTCTCCCCACAAGCCCGTGGGGCCCACTTACTTGCAAGACTTGTGGCCACAGGGCTGGAACACAGCAGAGATGGGGTGGGCATAGCAGATTGGGCAGAGGTCCTCCTCACTGGTGGGCTGCAGGGAGGAGAGCAAAGGGTTAGGTAGAGTTGGAGGCCCAGATAGGTGGGTATTGGCTATGCTCATGTAGGAGTGCATACATATCCAAGTGGCATGGGCCTGTGTTCTGTGGTCCTACTCACCAGGGAGGCAGCTGCTGCCTGGGCGGATGCAGAGGTCAGGTGTGCCAGCATCCGTTCCACCTGGGCCAACTCCTCAGCACTGATATAATCCGAATCTGGAGAGTGGTGGGTGGTGTCAGGCCAAATGTGGCCTGAGAACCCAGTGCCTCTTGAAGTTTCCCAGCCTAGTAATTGGCTGTTTTTAAGGCTCCTGACTTGATCCAGCCCCAAATCCCTGACCCACCCTCCAGCTGACTCACAGCTTTGCAGGGAGAAGCGCTTCCGGTCAGGGGCTGGCAGCGCAGTGCCAGGTGCTGGGGGCTCTGGCTGCCCCAGGAGATAGCATATTGAGCGGAGCTGGAAGCAGGGATCAGCCAGGAGCACTGATGTGGCTCTCTCTGTCCTAGATAGGGGAGGGTTCAAGGGTAGTGAAAATGCTTGGGGCCTGTCTGAAAGGGATTTCTGTGCCATGATACTTCCATTATCATCCCTCTTTTCCATTCTCCCGTCTCCTGCTGCTTCTCAAATCCCTACAAAGTCCTGGGTCCTAGTAAGGTACCACACATCCTTGAGTACCAGTTTAAGGAGGAAGGGCTCAGGAGAGTCACAAGATCGTGGAAATCCTGCCCTGTAATATATTAACCCTTCAGAATCACTTCAAATAAACACAACAATAACAGCAATTTAGAGACATTCTTGCTAGACTTCACCTTTTACTCTTCGAGGAAAAAGTAGAAAGCTGCCGGCCAAGGGCAGATCGGGACATTGGGGTCAGACTAGCGCCCCCTCTAGCGGTCACGCAAGGCCTCTGAGAACTAAGGGACGTGGCCGCCCCGCCCCCTTAGGTGGGAACCAATGGGAGCCCGGGGCTCCGCCCTCCAAGCCACAGCTTCCCGGCGAGTATTTAGAAGCCGACCAGGAACGCGCTCCGGGAGAGCTGAGGAAGCTGAAGGGAGCACAGCCCCACCTCACCACCTGGGAACCGGCGAGGAGGAGCTGTCGGCCTTGCGAGACAGAAGACGCATCGTGCTCGGCAGTGGGACATTGGGTACCACGTACGTCGAACCAGAGCCGAAGTGGGTGAGTCCTAGGGCTGCGACCTGCACAGAACTACCCTATCCCGTCTCTGGCGGTCGCCGCCATGGCCTGGCTGGTGCTGCCGGGCGCCCTGCTGTGCATGCTGCGTGTTGGATTAAGCACCTTGGACTCCGAGGTTTTCCCGCCCCCTGGGCCCCACAACTGCCCCTACAAATGCGTCTGCGCTGCCGACCTGCTGAGCTGCGCAGGCCTTGGGTTGCAGGACGTGCCGGCCGCGTTACCTGCTACTGCTGCAGACCTCGACCTGAGCCACAATGTGCTCCAGCGCCTGCGCCCCGGCTGGTTGGCGCCCTTCTCCCAGCTGCGCACCCTGCGCCTAGGCCACAACGAACTGGGTGCGTTGGGTCGTGGCGTCTTCACGAATGCCAGCTCCCTGAGGCTGCTCGATCTATCATCTAATGCGTTGCGGGCACTTGGCCGCCACGACCTCAGTGGGCTGGGGGCGCTGGAGAGGCTGCTTCTGTTCAATAATCGCTTGGTGCACTTGGACGAGCATGCCTTTCACGGCCTGAGCGCACTCAGCTATCTCTACCTGGGCTGCAACGAACTTGCGTCTTTCTCCTTCGTCCACCTTCATGGTCTGGACTCGACCCACTTGCGTACTCTAGACCTTTCCTCCAACCAGCTGGATCACATCTCTGTACCTGAACTGGCCGCGCTGCCGGCCTTCCTCAAGAATGGCCTCTACTTGCACAACAACCCGTTGCCTTGCGACTGCCGCCTCTACCATCTCCTGCAGCGCTGGCACCAGCGGGGCCTAAGTGCCGTGCGGGACTTCGCGCGCGAGTACACGTGCCTGGCCTTCAAAGTGTCCGCGTCCCGCGTGCGTTTCTTTGAGTATAGCCGCGTCTTCGAGAACTGCTCGTCTGCCCCAGCTCGTGGCCTAGAGCGGCCCGAAGAGCAGCTGCACGTGCAGTTGGGTCGATCCCTGAGGCTGTACTGCAACACAAGTGTCCCCGCTATGCGTATTGCCTGGGTTTCACCGAAGCAGGAGCTGCTCATGGCACCGGGATCCCGCGATGGCAGCATTGCGGTGCTGGCTGACGGCAGCTTAGCCATCAATAACGTGCAGCAGGGCCATGCGGGCGTCTTCGTTTGCCTGGCCACCGGACCCCGCCTGCGCCACAACCAGACGCACGAGTACAACGTGAGCGTACATTTGCCGCACCCGGAGCCCGATGCTTTCAACACGGGCTTCACCACGTTGCTGGGCTGCGTAGTAGGCCTGGTGCTGGTGCTGCTCTACTTGTTCGCCCCACCCTGCCGTGGCTGCTGCCGCTGCTG